TTCTCTTCCCTCACCCTTCCTGCTGCCTACAGCTCTCCCTTCCATCTGCCTGCCTCAGCATCCAGCCACAGTTTTCCCAGAGCTCTTCCAAATGACATCTTTAATTCCTCAGGCCAAGGTATTCTCCAGGACCTGATGTCTTACACTGCACAGGGAATCCCAGGTCCCCCAGGCCCTCCTGGTCCCCCTGGCATCAGCAGGGTCTTTGCAGCCTATGGCAATGTCACCGAGGATCTCATGGACTTCTTTAGAAGTAAGTGACATATTGATTTGGTGTTTCTGGCTCATGCATGTGAGATCTCTCCAGCCTCTCATAGACCTAGTGATCTTTTCACTTTTGCGTGCTGCAAAAATACAGCCAACACAGCTGAAGGCAGATAGTCTTTCCATCCCCTTCCTCCCTTGCTGGGGAGGTGCAGTCTCATCATTAGGAAGGACGTCAGGTTTTCCCACCACTTGTAGGAAACTCATCCCTGTGGCCCATTTTAACATGGCTGGGCTGGATGTAGAGCAACTTGAGACGGCTGCTCGCTCTGTTCTCAAATTCCCGTCTCTGAGCGTGGGCCAGCTCCAACCCTGATGATGGCCAGGACACCCAGAGAGGGTGGCAGAGCAGTGCTGGTGAAATGAGATCACAGCCTGCCCCTGGGACCTTGTTGGGACTAAAGCCATTTTTTAAATACTTGCTCTCAGTCAGTCTAATCCCATCTAACCTAGAGAAATGTCCTTCCCGTGTGACTCACTGCTTCTCTAAGTCAACACAGAGCCCTTTGCAAGTGGTTTGTTCCCCTCATTCACCCTCTCCTTCATTTCTCTCTCCAGCACATGGTACCATCCAGGGGCCACCTGGTGAAAAGGGGGAGAGGGGTTATCCTGGACCCAAAGGTAAGGCTCGCCATCCTTTCCCTCTCAAACCCTGTAACGCCCAGGAAGCAGCACTGTGTCCACAGAGGTAGTCAGCACTGGGCTGCTCAAGGTCACAGCCTCCCCACAGTGGCGGTAGCACCTTCAGGATCTCAGCCCAAGCATCGTCCTAACTTGGTCTTCCTTACCCTGGCCTGTCCCTGTTAGTGGGCCAGTCATGTTCAAGGGTAAACTTGGTCTTCTCATTCCTTCAGGTGACCCTGGACCGATGGGCCCACCAGGACGCCACGGGCACAGGGGACCGAAAGGAGAGAAAGGAGAGAAAGGTATGAACATCTGCCATGCCCAGGAGAGCAGGGTTTGCCTGTTGGGGAGTGGAGGATTCCCCAGGCACCAGCCCATCTCTGGGAACTGCTGGAAAACCCACATGGCCCCATTTTTTCTTTTTGTTTTGGGTCTTTTGTCTTTCCCCCCCCACATGAACTTTTCAGATAACCCTCCTTTTGACTTTCTTGTCCCCAGGTGAACAAGTGTATGTTGGCAGAAGAAAAAGAAGAAGTGTTGGGGTTTAAGGAAAGAGCCAGCTCAGTTCTGCACTGGGCAGCATTCCCAGCAGCCTGTAGAGGATTAGCCTGAATCTTCACTGCCTTAATGCTAAAACGTCCTTGCCGATCAGCTAACCACTTAGACTTGATAGTTCAGCGTCGCTGCTGAGATTTGAACGGCTCTTTTACATGTCCAGCATGGCCCTAACGTGGGTATTTGCTCCTGTTGCTGATGTTTGGCTTAGCGCCCCTGAGTTCCCAGGCTTTTATGTCTTCAGGCTGACAAGGGCTTCCTGTCTCACCCAGTCCAGGATTCTTGTATTACTCCCAGCTGTGTAAAAACCTGTTTTTTTAACAACTAGCCAACTATCCAGCAAAAAGAAAAAAAGAAACTACTCCCTCCCCCACCAAATGCATGATTTTGCAGAGATCAGATTCAGCCCACAGGACAAAAGGCCCTGTAAGAAACCCTGGGACTAAGCTTGCTCACCGCACCGGGATTTCCTCTCTGCAAGCTCTGCGGTGCCCATCCTGAGCAGGAGGACCTGGTGAGGCAGGTGCTGGTGGTACTGAGTGGGGCTGTGGCTCGGGGGTCTCTGGGAAGGGGCACGCAGCACTGAGGTATACCAAACAGTGACCCGCATGAGACGCTGAGCCCAGCCCTGCCGATGCCCGGCTGCTGCAGCGTAGCAGGTGATACAGGGAGAAACAGCCAGGCCCTGCCTTTCCCACCCAGCTGCGTGGCGGTGCTGATGTCTGCCCCACAGTCCCCACTGTAGAGCTTTCAGACCCCTGGGGTCAGCACCCACTGGCAGCCCGGCCCGTGACTTGCGTTGGAAAGCGACGCCCTCCCAGCTCGGCAGTTTTGCGATGCTCTGGTGCTCCGTGTGCGTTACCCCCAGCTCCTTGGACAAACTGTTACTGGAGGGGCTCGGGCAGCGATGGGGTACAGCGCATGCGAGCACTTTGCAGGGAGCCTGGGTCGGCACATGCTTTGCAATGCCTGTTTATAGCAGCACAGCGAGACATGACATGCACAGGGACCGAACTGAAGCACTTTTAAACATAATTTGTTGATCTTTTAAAAAATATTTTTGTATTTTTTTCTGGTTTTTAAACATTGGGGAGAAATAATTTTTTGATGTAAACAGCTCAATTAAAGCGTGTTTTTCACCCCAAGCTTGCCTGATCAGTGCTACATTGGGCAGTCGGTACCAGCTTCACTGTGACCATGGGCAGACACACCTTGTGGTTTTGGTGGCTGATGGTAGCTGGTTTGTTTCTCATCACTGGTGCGTGACCCAAGCAGACACCGAGCTGCTTCTCAGGTGTTGGTGGTTTCCGACACCGTTGGCTGGAGCCGCTGCATGTTGTCCCAGGGTGCCACAGCCATCATCGTCTTCCTCGCAGTGAGGCAATACTCATAGAATTTAAGTATTTTAGTGTTGGGGGCAGGGGGAAGCCTAGTGGCTGGGTGATGGCTGAGCTGCAAGGTACCGCCTGGCAGAGGCCGGCGTTTCAGGGCAGGCGTGCAGCCAGGGCAGCTGGCAGCCCCTCGCACAGAGCCTGGTCACCACGTGTGTGACGCCACATCAGCTTTATGGTGTTCCTGGGGACACGTGCACACACGTACACATACACACACACACTGAAGTCCTACTTTAGTTCCAGGTATTGGCCAAAGCAGGTCAGTGGCTCATTTTTATAGCAAAAAAACTTGCTTGAATTGCTTGTTTTCAGTCCAGGTTTAAACACCCCTCGTCTATTTTTATTTCCAGTGTTAGCGATGTCAAGTTTTGATGTGCATCCCACGTTATTGCTTTGGAGAGTTTAGAGCAAAAGCCTGTGTGAAGCAGGTCAGCTTTCAGAGCACAGCACCTCGCAGTGTTTGCCAATAAAGCCTGCATCCTTCTGGGGGATTCATACTCCCCCGCCTGGCTCTGCTGAAATGAGACATTGCCTTTTAATTCTCTCTTTTAAAAACGACGACGACAAAAGCATTTGTCATCATGTGTAAGTGCAGCAGCTGTGTTTCCATGTCTGAAGCCATCCCTGAACTACTCGGGACCACCGTAATGTGCTTGCAGGTTGTGTCATGGGGCAGGGTTTGGCAGCTGAGAGCGGTCTGAGGCACTGCAGCCCTACAACCACTCATTTGCTTCGTAATCCAGCCCGCGGCACTCGGATCATTGCTCAGGGGGCTCCGCTGCCACACAGCGCCGCCTCGTTCCTTCGCCTAGACCTGAGTGGGAAGGGTGGGTGTCATGAGGTCCTCCCTACCCACGGACTGGGGGGCAGAAACTGGAGCTCCTACAACCCCAAGTTGAATTCCCACCGACAGGGCAGGGCAGTCACTGAAAACAGCATCCTTTCAGGTTTGTGCTAAATCTGCATTCCCGCCCCCGGCTATTCCAGTCAGGGAGCCACACGTGGCACAATGTTAAGTACTTTTTACACTCAATTATTTTAAAAATTCTAAATTGTCCCAATCACTCACAGATTATTTATATTTCACGCGAGTTTTCCATGAACAAAACACAGGCCATCTCAGCAAACTGTGATTTTATTGTATTTACAGCAGAATTATTACAGTATTCTACAGAAAGCCATGAAATCAAATTACTTTTAAAAACAAGACACAAAAAAACCCCTGTTGTATGGCTGCTACTGCAAGTTCACTTCCATGAGCTGTACATACAGAGACCCTCAGCCAATTATTCATCTATCTCATGATTTTTGGTTGCTTTCTGTAAGGCAAAAATAACTTGGTTTGCAGCTAACACAAAACATTCAACAAACTGCTGGGACAACGCGAGGTTGGAGATGCCTCGGATTTGTATGCTTTATCACAGAAGACCACCCTGCTTGGCTTTCTTACAGAAAACAGGGGTATGACAGTTCAACATTACAGATTTCACTCCATGTCCCTTGCTAGTTTCTGTTCTTTCCACCATTTTAGGATTGATAATCCGTAAGAAAGAGGTTTTACCACCTACCTTGGTAATTGTGGAAGAGATTTTGGAAAATTAGAGCATCTTTGGGCTCAGTGACTCCCTTCTGCTTTCAGTACAGTGGAAGCACACGAGCCTTCCTTACTCATGAGCTGTTTTGAGCACGTTCCTATCTAAGAGGTTGTCTTCTTTCCCTGGCACCACTGACTGCCCCAACGCCAGAAGCGCAGAAGTAGCTTCGGAAATGAAGTATGAGGATTGAGGCAAGAGGAAGGGGATGGAGAACAACTAAAAGCTCTGCAAGCAATGTAGAGAAACACCGTGAAGTTTCTTTTGTCTTCTTCCCTTTATCTGTTCTCATCTTTTGTAAGACTGAGGAACATGACAGGGCATCCTGGCCTCGGCTTGCCTGTCAATGAGGAAGGTTAGTTCCCTCTGACCTCATTTTGTATCTGCTGTGAAGCTGACAGTACAAGTCAGGGAATGGGAAACGGGCGTAGACACAGCAACGCGAGGAAGTTTCTGAGATCCAGAAGTAGATTTTGAAGTAAAACGACGGGATTGTAAATGCCAACGTAAAAAGCAGAAAGTTATCTGTGATAGTGAAAGTTATAGTGACATATAGCAGAAAGTTATAGTGACCATCCTCAATACTGCTCCCTGCCCTCTCCTCTAATGACCGTACAGTCACTGTCCTCAAGAACTGGCCCCACTCCCCCATGGCAGATTAACCAAAAAGCAGTAGTTCAGCGGAAGCAACTAGCACTGAGCTCAATTGCACATTTAAGTCTGTTCCCTGGCTTTCAAAGATGAGCATTTCGGAGGTCCTAGGAGCTGCAGCTACACAGCAGCTCTGAAAATCAGGCTACCTAAAAGTGGATTTACGTGCCTGAATTTATTTATATCTTTCACCTACCATGTCTCACAAGACAGATACTGCTTCAGGTGGAGAATCAACTTAAACTTCCTATGTGATATTGCTGTCAGAAAAGACAGTGCGGTGTGATGAAAGTAATTACATGACTGCTTTGCTTGGCTCTGTCTTAGTTAAGGTGCTATAAGTTTCCTATTTATTAAGAAAAAAGAAATCAGTAGCATGTAGTTATAATAAAGTCCTCTAGGACAGAATAATAATTTTTTTAAACCATGTGATTGATTAGATATTGAATACCCATGAATGTAATTTTAAAAGGATATTAGCTTAAAACGTTGTCTGAAAAAAAGGATGCAGCTGAGAATGAATATCAGGATTTTAAGTGATGTGAAAAATCAGTTTGAGTGAATGCCACTGGTCAGGACAGCACGGTACTGTCACCTCTGAATTGGAACTCAGGTGTCAATTCAGCTAACACCTTCTAAAGAAAAACCTTTAATAAACGAGCATCTATCTAATCAATCATAACAACCTCACTATCGTATGTTTCCATGCCTACATGCTTCTCATGTATTTAGCGGAGGGCTTGGAAAAAGAAACAAATTTGTTTTACGGGAATCAGAAAGGAAGAAACATGCTGGAGTACTTCCCCTTCAACCAAGTAACCAGCAAAGCTCCCCTGGGACTTCAGGAGGCCAAGGGCTGAGGCACAGCCCGCTTCCTCCACAGCTGGTAAACCCTCCTCAGACAGCCCCGTTTGGGTGAGACGCAGAATTTATTCACGATACAGAATCTCACTATGAGAACAGAGGCAGCGAGACCACCTCAGGTTCGGTTAGCCAAAGATCTCCCCGGGCTACCGGCAGTGTTGCGTTAGCGGAGGACTACAAGATCCTGCAAACAGCCGAGTTCTAGTAACTGTTAGGATGCGAGCGGAGCCACCGGCTCCCGTACTTACAAGGCCCTATCCCAAGAAAGCTGACCGGGCAGGTGCCCAAATCTGCTTTCAGAGCTCAGGAAGAACGAGTTGTGAGGACTGGGATCTGTCAGAGGCCGTGGGCCTGCAGGCAGGGGGTTTTGTGAGAATCGGTTGTCAATAGGAGAGGACAACCAATACATCGCACTGCAATTCATGCATTTTATCGCCTTTGTCCATTTTCCTGTGGACAGTATTTATGATGCAGTAAAACACAAAGGTGAGCACGTACTGGCTTGTGGTCGTCTTTTGAAGGGCCTGTGGGGAAAATGAGATCTGCCAAACACTCAGTAACAAAGTACGTTGTTTTGGCTAAAATACACCTAACTACCTTGGAGATGGAGCTTCTAACTTCTATCACAGGGATGCGACATGTGACAGTAGAGAGATTGGATTTTGTACCTCAGGAGATCTCTTCCAGGCCTACATGAGACTAAATTCATTTGAACTGAATTTTCTGACATTGACATAACGTTGTACACCTCTTTCATGTTCTGCAATACTTAAAACCAATTTTATCAGTCTAAATGTGTTAGCACCCATGCTAGTTCCTGTTATCCCCCAGAAAAACATATTTTCACGCTTGATATCAATTCTCAGCGCAGTTCACAAGGCTGCAACTGCTTAACAGTGCTCCGGACCTGGAGACCTGACCAAACACCCGCTGAGGCTTCCATCGCTACATTCGATCCCTCCCTCCATCACAGAACTCCGTTACTGGTTTGTACAATCTACAACGAGATCAGGTTGCAGGGGCTTGTGTGAAAAGGATCTTCAAATAAAAGATTTAAAAGATTCAGACAGAGATAAACAGTACGCCAACATATGTTAGCAAGTTATCACTGAAACTGCCAAAAACGTGAGGAGAAGATGAACATTTCCCTCCGAGGATTTAATGTGGATGAAGGTAGAGATAATCCAGAAGGGGAAATCTGCCTGCCCTGTCTACTCCCCGAGTAAAGCACTGAGCCTACTTCGTACGAAATTGCAAACAAATTCTGTTAAATACAGAGAAGAAGAATATTTCATGTTAGGTTAGTGACAGCCAATTTATGATGGAGGAGCTTAAAAAGGCCTTCAAAGACATTTTTCACCCTACTAAATAAACAATTTAAAGAACTTTGCATTTAGCGACAGGTAACGTTCTAGAGATATGGTATGTGAATTTACAACAGTACACAATACACATTTATATAATAAAATGCCAGAAATTAAGGCTAGCTATTAAAGTAATTATGCTATCAAAAAGTTACAAAATTTAAATTAAAACATGCATTTGTCCAATTTTTTTTACTGTGCTGTAAATTTTAAGTGTCTTCATTGAGAAGGTTCAACATCCAAGGATTTCAGCATCCAAGATTTCAGCCACATCCGACTAAAGTCCTACGTTAATTTATGAGTTCATTCACATGCATCAACACTGTTCCCGTGAAATGAACATCATGTAATGTTCACCAGCCACACATCTAACGCAAGCTAGCAAAACAAAACGTTTACAGTTGATACCCAAAGAGACTAGAAAGCCAGGCCTCAAACGACAGAAAGCAAATACTATTTTACAGATTGAACTCCAGCATACCGAAGTACAGCTTATGATACCGTCTTGATACGACTCCAACTCTAACCACCAAGAAGAGTGCAGTAAAAGTGAGCTAATACAGTTGCATTTCCCTACCAGCTATATGAGGAACATTTCGGATTTCTTCCACTGCAGATCAGTCAGGTAAATAACTTATCGTACATCTACGAACTTGAAAAATAAAAACTGCCTATGTTAGTACGTGGCAACACAAAAGCAAAAACCCAGCTTCATAAAGTGGTTTGTCTATATATTTAACTTAAATCTTTCTATAAAATAAAATGGCTAAAATAAAAAAAAAAATCAAATCTAACACTTCTACTCAAATCAGACTTCAGCCACGGTTATTTATAAATACGACCATCCGCCTCCACTCTTCTGATGGAGTTTAAATGAACAGGCTTTGGTAAGAACAGAAAAATGGCTCTACCCATTCCAGGTACAGTTAGAGAAACCACGTGCACTTTGCACACCGCTTTCTAAAAAAATACATTCTACAGTTTTTCAGTTTGTAGAACTAACCACCTGTAATAGCTAAGGAAAATAACAAACTGTGCATTTTAAAGTTAGCATTTCTTTCACCTTTACATATTTTAGTGCAAAATATTTTAGGGTGAGGGTTTACAACAAAAATGGCAGTAGCAGCAAGAAATCTTCTGTTTTGTACAGTAACAACAATGCTAAGGAGTTTTGTTTTTTTAAATGACAAAACACTATCCTGTTGCCAGGATTAGCGTATCTAAGTGTTTCAGGCACTGTATTAATTAAACTAGCACCCCATTTCATTACGGAACTAATGGACAAAGTACGTCATGGAGATCAGCTCAGTTTAATTTATGCCAGAGGTTTCTTTTTAAAGAAGTTGCAAAGGCTTTTGCTTTTACCAATCGTGTTTAAACATAAGGGTTTATTTTCCTGATTATTGGCGTGTTCTGAGTAATTCGTTTCAGTCCTTGCTATGAAGACACTGCTCAACATTGTAACATTTTAAACCTCTCACGGCAGTTTCAGTTGCGGAATTCTCTCGCGGAGAAATCAGACACTTAAAAACACAGAAGCAGAACTAATATTACACCGTTTAAATGTTCACATGAGAAACCATTTTTTTGTGATCAGAAAGAGTACAATTAATATTTTAGGCTTAAAGTCAAAACCATAGATAACATACTTTTTGAGACTGAGATAAAAACCCCCACTTATTCTTGAAACATCCGAAGGACATAACATTACCATTATACACCAACACCTTTTTTCTTTTCTTCCATCCGAGAAGTAAAGAAACTGATCATGACACTGATTGTCTCCACTGAAAAGAAAGAGCGCTAGGTCCTCTGATGTACACCGCAGATTAAGTCAGGTTAGACGATGAGGAGGGAGAATTCCAAATACGAAAAAACCGACAGCAGTTCCCAGAGTTACGACCCAGTGGAGTGAAGGCTGGGGATTGGATAGAATTTGGAAATCCGGCTTTGTGTTGAAGGGTTAAGGCATTCGGATTCTCCAGTCATTTTAAAGAAAACTTCCTGCTCCTGCAGTTTTCTGGCAAATTCTTCTTCCAGCGTCTAAAACCAAAATCAGATTGTCATAGGATTACAAGGCAAAGTACAAGAAACCTATTATACTGGGGACATACTGCCTGATATGACATCGTAACTTCACACACCATCACAGAAAAAAAAAAATCACCTAGCAATTACGAAATTGCAAGACAACCAAGACACAGCAAGCTAAGAACATCATCTGCCTGTGGGATACTCGCTGAACTGCGTGAAAATCTGGTACTTTCCATTTTAAAATGAAATACAAAAACCAAAACCAACCTCCACCACCCTCTATGGGTTATTTAGCACTCAATTTCTGTAGTAACCTACTGGCTTCTGAAATCGATTCCTAAAACCAGATCTACCTCCAGCTAAGAAGTTTTGTATGCAAATATGTGCACATGCGCTGCAGGAGGGAACACAGCAAGAGGCCGGTAACACGCAAACCTTTTTTGTTGCACGTGCCCTTTGCTCAGCTTTTGCACTTTTTTTTTTTTAACATCTTTTACTATTCCGTGAACTACAGCAGTTTTGTACAGCAGCTTGATTCTCCTCCTCTGCGATACTTTTGGTATTGTCTGTATTTCCTAGATCCAACTCTTGATTATTTTCTGATTCGTAAACTGCGCCGATTTACCTTTTTTCTTGGTCTCAATTTCTCCCTCCATTCCTTCAGTTCTTGGCTGTGCTCTTCATCTAGCTCTTTTAGCTTCTGAGTCTCATGCTCAACCAGTAGATGGCATTTTTCATTCTTAAAACAAGATAAAGATAATCCTTATGTAAAACTAATTCAGATTAGGCAACTCAACATTTGTACAGTGACATATGTTGTCCTAATTCTTTTTAATTAGCTTATTCCGTGTAAATAGTGACATGAATAATTACAAAAGTATGTTACGAGGCTGCATTATCAAAAGCTGGTCTTTCCATCAGAACCAATTGAGATAAGAAATACTTGTAAAATCCAAATATACTGTTGGGTATCATTAAGGCAACAGCTGACAGCGTTACTCAAAACTGTGTTCCACTGCCTAATAATGCTTTTCAAGGTCATACAGTATTTCTGCTTTGCTTTCTAAAGACAGTTGTATAATTTATTAAAATCAATTACATTAAAAAGGAGGTCGTTTTTTGGAAATATTTCCACTCTTGGTGCCAAGGAGCTGAGACTAACAAATGGGGCTTGGAGAGCAGAGAAACGTGCTTGCAGAAGCAGCCTCAGAATCACCCCATAAAAAGGAAAAGGATAATCGGACCACACATCAGCTTCACATTCCTCTCAGTAAGGTACACATGCATCTGCCTAACTTTCAGAGGACTTTTGAAGCATGGTAAGAAAAAAAAAATTAAGTATTTGGCTACATCAAATCTTTGATTTTTAAGAGCAGTTGGCAATGGCAGTCTCTAAATCCCACGCTCTTGTTTCTAGGGTTCCAGTCCCAACTGGGTCTGATGCAGAGCACAAAAACACAGGAACAAAAATGGCAAGCACTTGGCTAGACCTGAGTGCAGCTAGGGGCCAATTTTTCCTCGGTGAAGCTCAGAGTAGCCCTAATCTGCTCAATTTTACTTGAGCTGAAACTCTCGCAAGACTCCCATGGTACTTGGGGATTTACTGTGGCATATTAGTGGCACAGTCAGGGACTGTTTTCACAGGATGTAAGTAAGTGAATGGAGCAGAACTAGCTTCATTGGTCGATGGAAGATTTCTCTACGCAAAGGTTATCAGCAGGGGATCATTTAGTGCTTTAAAAGCCCCCTGTGTCCCTGAAACAGGGGAAAGCAGATTTAGTGGAAAAGGAGATGTGACCTCTGGTATACAGCAGCAACTTTTACAAAATACATACCAAAAGGGGCAAAATAGAGTTCCTTATCGCAAGAAGAGAATTCCTTCCAAGTACCTTCCTGAAGCTCAAGTACACACGGCAGCCTGCACTTTGTAAAAACCACCTCGTTCCATGTATTGCTACAAACGTCTCGTGGGTAATGCCTGGTGCTGCCTACCTCTGTTCTGATTAATGACATTTCAGCAAAAGTAGGTTAAAAGGAAACGTTGCCTACAGAAAACAGCACTGGGAACTTGATAGATATTCTAGAAGTGATCATCTGCTTCTGGTTCATGCTCTTCTTGCATATAAAATGATTTCTCGTTAATTGATGTAAGCATGTGAATCTGGTTAAGCAGTATGCTGCAGGCCTTTGAAAGCAAAGCTGAAAAAAAACCCTACGCCAATCAGTAAAAATGAAGGAAAAGACGTTTCTGCTTCGCCTGTGTCTGTTATTAACCTGAGTCTTCCCACTGAATGTTCATTTAATATCATCTATTTTTAACCTGTAACTGATGCAGTTCTCTGATGTTTGCTTCACACTGCAACTGAAGGTCCCGCATTTGGTTTTCGTGTTTCTGATGCTGAGCCAGTCTCTCATTCTTCTGCCTCTTTTCTTCTTGAACAGCAAACTAAAATAGAAAAAGATGGTTTATATTGGGCCTCTAGATACAACAGTTTACATGAGTCAAAAAACTCTATGTAACAGAATGAATACCTAACAGTGTAACTGAAAAGAATGGTTTTAAAAGATTTAAACAATAACTGTATTTTCTTTATTCTTTCTTTTTTAAAATTCTTGCAAAGGGAATGCCCTCACAGTTTTGTCTATCGCTCCATTTCTCTGTCTGCACTCTAATTTTTCCTTAAAACACAGCACATTTCACTGCCAGACTCCTGAAATTATCTCCCTCTGAAGCCAAGTGACACAGCACTGTTGCTACAAGTGTCGGTTAAGGTTGGTGTTATGCAGCTACAGGAGACTGTATTTTCCAGATTTTCCCAGTGCTCACCATATGAAACCATGATTTGGGACTTTTGTGCATCAGTAAAAAGGAAATCTCCAAACCTCTTCACAACGTTTCTGTTTGAAGAATGAGTGAATACCTGCAGTTTTAGTTCAAAAGCTCACAGAAATCAAATATTCTTAAAAATATTTCACAGAATCACAGAACGGTTGAAGTTGGAAGGGACCTGCAAAGATCAACCCCCTTACTCAAAGCAGGGTCAACTAGAGCAGGTTGCGCAGGACTGTGACCAGATGAGTTCCGAGTATCTCCACAACCACTCTGGGCAACCTGTTTCAGTGTCTGACCCTCCTCACGCTAAAAAAGTGTTTTCTTACGTTTAAGTTGGATTTTCTGTATTTGAATTGTGCCCACTGCCTCTCATCCTGTCACTGGGCACCACTGAGAGGAGTCTGGCTCCACCTTCTTTACTCTCTCCCGTTGGGTACTTATACACATGGGTAAGATCCTCCTGAGCCTTCTCTTCTCCAGGCTGAAGTGTCCCAGGTATTCAGCCTCTCCTCCTATAACAAGACCCACCAGTCCCTCAGTCATCTCCAAGGCCCTTCGCGGGACTCGCTCCAGTAAACCCATGTCTGTCTTGTACTGGGGAGCCCCGGACTGGTCCCAGTACTCCAGATGTGTCTCACCAGTGCAGAGGGGAAGGATGACTTCCTCTGACCTCATCCAGCGCGTCAACCCATTTTGTACCATCTGTGAACTTGATGAGAGCGCACTCTATCCCATCCTCGCATTTACATCACATTAAGCATTTACACTATTAAAACTGTTTTTCTTAATTACCTGCTTAATTTTTTCACGATCTTGGTCTGGAGAGGCTAATGAATTGATTCTTAAACTTTTCTTAAACATAGCCATTCGAGTCTTTGCTTCACTTCGCTGGATTTTAGGCAGTCTCGCTCTTTCCTGAGTTTGCTTGTTCTTTAGCTCCTCGATAAGGCGCTGATTGTATCTCTGCATTTGTTCTGTTTCCTAAAACGTTAACCATATGGAAATGTTACAGAGTAACTATTATGTTAGAATATTTGCATCTCATTTCATCAATACGCATGCTGTTTGAGTCCACACCTTTCAACAGAAACCAGTCCCAGCCCTAGTGATAGCAATGGGGAGGAGGGAGTCTTCCACTTATTCCAGAGAGCTCTGGATCATGCCCAACCCAGATGAAATTCTCTAATGCTCTAATGAATATGAATACACATCTATTTTACCAGTGGTTGTTCAACTCCTGAATTGCACTTTGAAAAGTCCATGTTATTCAGAGGGAGAAACTCTTGTGGACTGAACTTCCACTACTGCAGTTGTGAAGGGTCAGTTTGTTGCAAAAGCTGGTGAAAGCAACAGCCATTATGGGGATAAACCAAACCATACAGCCTTCAGGGGAGGCTGCTCGTGCTCCAGTCACCAAGGAGATCCTATAATATCTCTCTATTGGGTTCACATTTTCAAAAACTGAACAATTCTGTTTAGAGTATTCTATAAAAAACAAAATATCTTGAGGAAAATAAGTGCTGTCTTCTGGGCTTTTATAGGATTTAGCTATAAAGAGACAGTTGTCAGCTACTTGCCCAAAAGCTAATCCAGTTCATTCTGCTCATTTAATTCCAGGATGATTTACTAACATGCAGATTTATTTAAACACAAGCCAAAACTGGTTTTGGTGTATAAGCAGGATTTGCTATTTTTAATAGAAAAAGGTTGATGATGTGGTGTTTTTTTTTTTTAAAGAATCAAAAGGGAAAAATATGACCACTTACACTTCAACATACTACTAAGTTATTAAAGTAGGATGACTAAGATTTTTTTATTTCACCAGAACATATACAGCCTCAAAATACCTGTGTGGGTCTTGCCTGTGCAAGCAAACAGCTACCAGTAATGATGATAAGACTACTTGATAAAGAAAAAAAAAAAAAAGGATATTGTAATACACAAAAGAAAGTGCCAAAGTCAACACTAACTTTTTCATGCCTCTTAAGCAGCTGGTGTCTCTGCATGAAGTACTGATCTTTGAGTTGCTGTTTGAGGAGCTGGTGTTTCTCTTGTAAGTGTCGCTCTTCCAGCTCCCAGATTGCAGCTTCGCGAGCTGGAAAAAAGAGGAAGCCTGGTTCAGAAAGTACAATACAGTACTTTCTAATCTACCTGCTAGTGTATGTTCACAAGTGGCCTACAAGTGCATGTGAAGAACAATGCTATTCCATAGCAAATGTTTTTACTACAGTTCTAGATTAGTCATGAAGGACTTTGATTTCATAAATTTAGGACAGACTATCGTTTTATTAAAATACAACACAAAGGTCTGTTTTTAAAGAGCGTGTCTGATGCTAGATACCTCTCATGAGCTGCTGTTTTTTGTTGAGGCAGTCTCGTTCAATAGTGGCTAGTTCTGTCTTCTGCTGCTGAATAATTTTCTTCAGAGATGCATCCAGCTCTTGTTGCTGCTTCTGCACAAATTCCTGCTCCTGGAAAAACCCAATAGAAGTAAATTAAATTGTGTTCTTCTAACCACATTACATTTTAATGAAAATCCCAGTTCTCTCAGCATTAGCTATATATGAAAACAAATACATCTATGAAAATTTGAGCTAACATGCCTCGGCTATAGAATTATGCATCTCTCGTATTTTCTGCGTAGAAAGTAAGTAAGAGTATATTTAATGTTTAAATAATACCTTCAGAAATAAGACCAAAGGCAACAAATAAAAAGCAGTCTGCAATTCATGCCATCTCTTGTCTCTCCTCAAAACAAGCTGCAGGTTCAAAGCTAGCGGAGACAAGTACTCAATATAAAGTTGATCTCATCATATCAAGGGTTAATTATTCATGGAGGTAAGAAAAAAGTATGTATGGCTATTTTGCTTTGGATGATTAGTTAAAGCCTATTTATTTACACAGTTGGGTTTCAGATTTGTGTCTCAATCTCGAGTGGTTTATCTTGTCATGAGCGCAAAGATATTGAGGTTGGGAGTTCTGCAAGACTGCTATGAAGACAGCCAATGCCTTTTGCAGGAACTGCATTCTGCAGGACTTGTAAGCTTGTCACACCAGAGCTGAGCTGGCTCCTCGCAAAGCGATTTGCCATGTGTGTGATGCAGTCCCCGTATCTCCTGCATCTTCCCATTATCCAGGGTGTATCACTCTGTTGCATCACATCATGAAAAGCAGGCAGTAGTAAGAATCCCCTCCCATGCCCCAAGACCATACTGTTGCCTTTCTTCTCTGCAACTATCAAAAAAAAAAAAGCAGCTTCTACAAGCATGCAAGCATACACACACACACACTCTTTAAGAACAAGAAATTAAAGCAGATGTTTCTACCATGATATAAAGATCAAAAGAAAGGATATCAGAGCCAAGGTGGGCAGCTGAAGCATTTGCTGTTATACATAACATAGCAACGTTAAAGATGGTCTATTGGAAGGGAGATGGGATAAGACAGAAAAACGGTACTGGGCTGCAGATGATCAGTGGAAGGGTCTCCTGAGCTATGTATTTTTATTTTTTTACTGAACCTATGCTACTTGCTAAAAGAATTGTCAGCAATGTATGGAATTAAATGGTCATTAAAAGTGCTTTTTATTATGACCAGGAGAATCCTGGTTTTCATCTTCACAGAAAGTTATTAACAGATGAGGCTTTTGTCTCTCCCAGTGGACAGCAGAGTTACACTTAAACAGGTAACAGAAAACCAGAGGTGGAGTCAGTTGGTGCAAAGTTCTGACAGTGACAAACCTGAGGGTACAAAAAGAACTAGAAGGCCACGTTTGTAAATTGTCTGCTATACCTAATCAAATGTATGGAGTGATGAAAAATACCATTCTGTTTCCTTTTCTAGATGAAAAGGATAAGAAAACTACAAGTTTATTATTCTGAGGGTGCAGACACATAATTAACATGGTGTTTAATTTGCCAGGAATTTTTTATTTGGAGGGACCGGGGGGAAAAGCTGTTATAGTGTAGTCGTGGTCAAAAAGCAATTATGCTTGAGCTTTACTCAAATGTCTTTACTTAAATATCATTGCTGCTCTTTCTACATGGTAAATCTTAACAAGTTTTATAATTGCTAGCACTATAAGATAAAGCAGGCAATCTCAGAAAACACTCTGGCCTTTCGACTTCCCACATCTACTCAAGTATCGCATAGAACAAAGGTCACTGACTTCACTAAAGAACATGTTGAATGGTTAAAAGGCAGACAGTGCAAGGCAGTCCACCTTTTTAAAATTACCACTTGGTTTTGCCCAATAAGTATCTTAAAATAAACTCAGCTATCTTTAAAATACACGGTTTCACTGCACACACAGCATAGAAGTCACACATTGTTTCTCACATGTGCTGAACAAATAATAAACACCAGCAAACAGTATTATATTGCTTCAGTGTCTTGCCCAGAGTTAATAACTACTGTAATGTTGATCTTTTTACTATGAATAGTGCAGAATCACATAAATTTGTGCTAACTAGTTTGCAGACAGCAGTGACATCGATCAGCACGTATGAGAAGAAGGAGAAGAGAAGACACACATCTGGAAAACTAGGGAAATAAAACTTTTGTTGTTTTGCATTTTAAGACTTACATCCTGCATCTGCGCGTTGAAAAGTGTACATGAAGACAACTGAAAAGACTGAATCATAACCTGAGCAACGCCCTGTGGGACACAATGTACTTCCTATGTCAGAATATAATGAAATGCATTTCTGTTCTTAAAAAAAAGAAGAAATGAGATCTGCTGTATGTTAGTAATACACATTTAAAATGTCAAGGCTAATCACACGAAAGTAGTCACTGACAGAAGTTCTAGATATTCTAAAACTAAACATCTGCACCTTGTCTAGTACTTATCATTCCAAGTATGGATATTTCACCTTTAGAATTGCCTCTTTCACCTCTCTTACTTCAACAAATTGAAACCAGCAAAGGAAACAAACTAAGTCACTACAAACACTATGAAAATTTAGGTTTCTAATTGTTTCCTTAATAAGTTCAGAGACGCATATCCTTGGTACGGGGAGAGCGCTGCAACTCAATCACATTCTATCCTGGGAAATCCCCTCTTGAATTAAACACGTAAACGAATAAAGTTGCTATTATTTTCTACTAGGTCACTCACATAAACATTTAATCCTTACGTTACTCAATCCAAACCTGCTCTACTGTGGTGCAAACTCACTCCGTACAAGCTGTGGCCATCACAAAGCCAGTATTTTTCTAAAATACTAACCTCCCTTCTAGCTGGGTCATATAAAAGCAGCAAGTCTGAAGGCGTGAAATTACAGATGATGTCTTGTAAAGTTTCCATACACCTACACTTTGACATTTAAGTAACTTCATTTTACCTAATCTGTTCTGTTTCTTTGAACAAGATGCCTCATGCTTACAAATTATATACATTTTCCTCCCCTGCGCTTATATTGCTCAAAACTTACTTCTGACTGTAACCTTTATAATTTGATGGACCTATAGGGTACTTACCACTCATAAAAGCACTGTAAATAAACTTGCTGTAGAAAAATACCGTTCTGTTTCGGTACAGCATACAAAATATTACACTTAACACCACAAACCTGGAAGTCGCTGCTCCTACATTTCTACACAGTATACTCTAGGGGATGTGATATGGGAGTACTTGAAGAAAGAGAGCAGTACGTAGGGTTAGTCTGAGTTAAGTTCCATATTCACTCAACAACAACAAGAAGTGAAATCATCAAGCTGTGTGAATACCGCTGCCTTTTGTATTTTAGTAGCTTGAAGCTGCTGTTGTTACCTGAGCATGCTGGCTTTGTGCAAGCTCCTCTTTCTTGCGTTTCATGAGCTCTTTTCTCAGCTCTTTTGGTGCTTTCTCCACTTCACATAAAACCTACAGTGTATATAAGCATGCAGAAGGTGGCGAAAAGAACACTTTTTCTCCACAGCAAGCATTACTGTGAATATAGGACATGCAGGTCAAGCGCTAGAGGTATTGGGAAGCGTGCAGGGACGTTAGTTTAGTGAAAAGAGCTTAATGAAAAGAGAAGGAACAATACATGCTTCATGCATGCCAGCGCAGCACAGAAAGGAGGTATATGCCAGCCTCTTTTTGCATGCAAATGCTGCCCAGTGCTCTCAGAAATGGCAGTCTCTTGCTCGCGTTTTCATGCAGCAGCTAGAACAGATAGTCAAGAAAGCCACCACCTGCAAGAGTGGTATTTTCTTGAAGCACTGTGGCAAAAGGACCACAGAGTATGTTTACCTCATGGTAAAGCTGTGAAAAATGGTTGGAAGTTTAAAATAACTTCCACTGAAAACCAGCTATTTCTGACACTGTCTCAAACATGAATTTATAAGATGTCATTATTAGTGTCTCCAGCCATAAATGACACCTACACAGGTTATGTCTTTAAAATAAACATACACGCAAATAAAATATTAATTGGTTATAAGTATTTGATTCTGAAGAATTTAAAAGCAAAAACCACCAATAACTAAGTATATTTTCAAGAAACTTTTCATGACATATGCTGGAATGGAATGTATTTCAGTCCAAGGTGAATTAGACTAGATTAGTAGAAAGATTCTAAATATAACCTGGCTAAATCAACTGACTGTTAATCTGTTAATTTGCTGATGTATTTTATTTATTTTTAAGAATTATAAAAATGTAACACTGCACACTCCAAAATAGCATGGGTAGTTTTAGAGCACCAGCTGCATTTTCCTTCAAACTGTAAATCGCCTTTTTAAGCTTTAAATACGAGACTATGCACCCCAAAACAAATGCCTGTTTGTTTAATAGTGGAAGCATCCTCAGAAAACAGAGTCCAAATCACCACATGCTACTCCTGTTTCCATGAAAGAACTGCTTTTAGCTCAGAGCAATACGTAAAATTCTTCCCGCTTTCCCATGTAGGACCCAATCACCAGTAAATAGAGAGAGACTCAAAAATGCAAGAGGTACCGCAAAAGAAGAAAAATTGTTATTTACATATGAGCATATCATTCAAACTGAACACAACTTATATTTTTTTACGCACTTTTGTACTACAGGATCATTCTATGCAAGAGCATGGACAGTACAGATTTCTAAAGAAATCTAGTAAGTATTAGAGCAAACACTAGAGCCATTTATATACTAACGAGCACTACACCATTGATCTGAAAATGAAATAAAACAGCTTTTAAGATGCAAAATCCATATGGAAACACATTGCCTTCTCTTACTCTAATGCAAGCAAATTAATAGCATAAGGTGTCAGCGTCAGACGTTATTCATTTTGCCTTAACTGTATGACAGGTATGAAATTAACTGTAAAAGATTTTAGGTTATCCAGACTTGTCTCTCCTGGCTTTCCTTTTTGAGTTAAAAAACTAAATCCATATAACTGCTGTTACTTCATATAAAGAAATTCTAACAGCAGCAGCACACATTCAATAAAAATCTAACAAATTACTCTAACAACAACATCATCATCATCATCTCTGGAATTTAAGTGGTTCTCAGTAGTAATCAAGACCATATCCTTTTCTTTGAAATTCTAGTTTGATAAGTATTTACTAAGTAGCTATAGCTGCATTTGTTTAAAAGTAGAAATCTCAAATATTTTTCACAATCTTTAATAAAATACTTTTTCTTAATATTTGAGAGAAAATATTTTATTAAAGATTCTGTGAAAAATAAAGTCTTGTAACTTGGTGATGTTTTCTGGATTAAGTCAATACCTAAATCTTCCTGTTAGCTGTTTGTATTTCACTTTAGGCAGTAAAACAAAAGAAATTATACTGATTGCTAGTAACCCTTCCACAACTCAGTATAGCACATGAGGTTGACACGGCTTCTGGGAGACCTAATCTCAGCTGTTTGCTATGCCCATACTCCTTATTTTCTATACTATCATCATTGCCTCTTACCTCCTTTTTTTTGTTCTTCAGCATGTTCTGGAATTTGGACAATTCCTTCTCCTGTTCTGCTTTGATGCGTTTTGCTTCATCTCGTAAACGATTTGTGTGTTCCTGTTCCAAGCGCTCTATTGTCTGTTTCTGCTGTTTTTCTAGATTTTCTATTTCTTGATCATACTGTCGCTTTTTACTCTGTAAAAATAATTTGGCATCTTTTTTTAGAAAACTAAATCCTGTTCAGTGAAGTGCTGTACCACGGCAGAGGATGGCCATGATGAACTGTTCTGGCAGGTGAGTTCTAGCATACAAGCTGGGCACCCCACAATGGAAAATATTGCCATTTATTAACAAGAATGAAAATAAGCTATAGCCATCATAAAAGGAAACACCTGATTGCTGCTAATAGTATTCTGCCTACTCCATCAAGATGTTATATTTTAAGAGCACCAAAATCCAGAAACTCACTGTCATTTCCTGTTCAAAACGTCTGTACATCTGTTCTCGCTGTTGCAAAAGCTTATTACTGAGTTGCTGTTGGGCCCTCTGCTCCTCTTTCTGAAGAAGTCTTAGCTCTCTTAACTCTTGACGTCTAATAACGAAAAAGAAGACTTAATATTGATGGGAAGGCAAAAGAAGTGGAAAATTACAAAAGATGAAAAAAGCATCTACAACTCAGGTCCAGTAAAACTAGTTTTGAATTCATTGTTTTATTAAGAAACACTTTACATTCCTTTCTACTAACAAAATAATTGAATGAGGGCGGTGAGGCACTGGAACGGGTTGCCCGGAGAAGCTGTGGATGCCCCACCCCTGGAGGTGTTCAAAGCCAGGTTGGATGGGGCTTTGAGCAACCTGGTCTAGTGGAAGGTGTCCCTGCCCGTGGCAGGGGGGCTGGAACTAGATCATGTTTAAGGTCCCTTCCAACCCAAACCATTCTATGATTCAATGAAATTAATCCCCAAATACCACAGAAATAAGATTATTAGCCCTCTTCTTTTATTCAAAGAGAAAAAAAATTAGCTGCTAACCTCTTGTAAATTTTACTTTTAAAAACACTTACCGTAGAAATCGCATTTCTTCACTTTTCGAGTCATTTTCAGTAACTATTTTTGATGTGGTTACACTCACTTCTACTCCATCAACAACAAACTTCCGAGTTTTCTTTAAAGTTTTCTTCTGTCTTCTAGTTTCCTGAATAAAGCATTGGTAAGTTATTCTGTACTTATTTAAGTTACATCCTTTTTTCCCTTTTTTCTTAATATTAAATTACTTCAAATATTTCTGTGAAGGCCTACTGTATAGTAATCAGGAGTTCTTCTCACTTATCAGGTACCTTGCTAATCAAGTGAGAATTTGAAAAATTCTAATGTACTGAAACCTTCTCTAGTCAGCAAAGGAAAACTGTAATTATTGATCATCTAAATTGCCAGAAGAAAAATCTAGATAAACCCTGAACAGAACTGATGCAGTTTTATTTTCAAGAGCTGATGACAGTTGCAAATTTGCTTTTGACCATAATTTTCCCAGTCACCAAACCAGATATTTAATTCTGAAAAACAGTAATGAAACAGAATAGCAATTTACTCACCAACTTCTGCTTTGGAAATAAATTAAACAAGCAAGTTAATTTTTTTTAATTGATATGTATTAGTCAAAAATCAGTGATGACCTTGCCGACGGAATTGGAGAAATCTCACTTCTCAGAGCTGCTATTTTTCCATTGCAAGAGGAGACCCCAGCTGAAACTGCATCCCCATTGTGTTAGGGCTACTGCAAACACCTTGAAGTCATGCTTAGCACAGCTATGCCAAGTTACGATTTTTGTTTGGGGTTTTTCTGTTGGTTTTGGGGGTTGTTTTTTTTCTTCAAACCCATGGTTACAGAGTTACTATTCTAGTATGGCTATAATCATATTAGTATAAAGATATAAATAAAGTTCATAATCTGGAATGTGCTTCCTCTGAATAATCTCATTCATACTGGCATAATTGCATCGATCTAGTACTATCATAGGAGTACAGTGTTCGGAATAAACAAACCTGAGAGACTCTCTGCCTTAGATCTTCTAAATCTAAACAGAGAGACAGAAGATAGAAGTGACAGGAATTCAGTGCAAGACTAGATATTGTAAGAGATTCGTCCTGTTGAACAGGGATTCCGTGCAGAGTAAGGCATTGAACTAGTCATCTTGAATATCGGCTCTGAACTACAACCATTCACAAATCTTCACCTTTAATATTGTCAGACTTCCTGTTATATGCTAGTCTACATTTTTAAAATACAATTATGCAATAAAATTAGAAAATAATTAGCAGCTCTGTAGCTTCTAGCTTTGCTGCATAACTGCACAAAATCCAGACATTGTTAGAGCACGCAATTTAGAATACTTTGGTTTCTACAAAGTCTTATATTCCACACTGTCATACTAGTTTCTCACTCAATTTTCTTTGTTGCAAAGGTCAAACTTGGAGATAATTTTAGGGTCACACTCACATATTATTTTATATAAAAATACATGATTGCTTATACTTACCTGTAAAGATATTGATCCTGTCTCTTTGCTTTTACTAAGGAAACTAGAAATTGACAAGTTCAAATCAATGCTGCTGTTATCAGCTGTAGAACCAGTGCCTGAATCTGCATCATTTTCCTTCAAATTCTCCGATTCTAGCTGCTGTAAAGTTTCAGTATTGTCTTGATTATCTGTTTTGACTTTCTCTTCATTTTCTTCAGTGCTAATACTAATCCTGGGGACCGGAGCGACTTCAGTCTCATCAGCTTGTTCACTGACAATATCTTGAAGCTTATTCTTCATTATTTCATCAGAAGTAACTTCCGAATGTTCTTTGTCTATCTGAATATTGTTTTCCTGGATATTCTCTGCTCTGCGCTTTTCTGAATTTTGGTCCGTATCACTCAGTTTATCCACCACTTTATTAGAAATATCCTCAGGCTTGCTCTGTATTGCCTTCTGGTCTACGTGGTCTTTTCTAGGGTCTTTGATCTCTGTTTCCTCCATGCTGCTTATATTACAAATATCCTCATTTTCACTTTCTGCCAGTTTCTTGTCTACTTTGATCGCTTTATCTTGGCTTTCCGATAGAGTTTCTTCAGAGCTGATTATCTCATGGACCTGCTTAGCCTGACTTTGCACTGGCTTATCCTCCATCTCAGGTATTTTATCCCCATCACTGATCTGTATTTCAGCAATACCACCTATCTCCTTAATGTTGTCAATTCCATGCTCTATTAGTTCCTTTTCTTCATCAGCCACTTGATCTGCAGCATTAGGTAGAGTTTCTGTGGTGGTGGCTATTATCGCCTCTTTCTGACCTTCATCTTTATCTTTCTTTTGCTCTGTAGTATCTTCTGCAGGGACCTTTTCTTCCTTACTTTCTGAGAGATGCGCTCTGTTCTCCTCTTCTTTTTCACCAGTTTCCTTAGAAATGGCTTCTTCAGTTTCTACACTATTTTCAGTTGTAGGTACTATTTTCAGTTTATTATCTTCCATCTGTTCATTTCCCATGTCATTTTCTTTCTCTATTTTTAGGTTGGGTTCATCCTTTATTTCTGATTTTGTTACCACGTCAAGTTCTTTCACTCCTTTCTGGGGTTCTGTACCTTCTTGTGGTTTTTCCAGGCTTTCTGTATTCTTTTCAGCTGGCACTATTTTGCCTTGCTCATCTTCACCAGTTGGCACAGAACCATTCTGCACTTTCATATCACCAACAGTAGTATCGCATAGGTTATCAGCTGTTTTCCTAAATTTAATGTCCTCAGATTCATCTCCATTTGTTTTGTCATCTGGAAATACAGTGCTGGCTTTGTCCTCAATTGCATTACTTTCTGTTTTTTCAGAAAGAGATTCCAGAACAGAGGCATTCTGTGAAAGTTTATCCTCTTCAGAGCTGGCGATACTAAGATCAGAAGATGCACGCTTGTCTGCAGGTAACTGCTAAAAAATTAAAGGAAGAAAAATATTTAATAATTTCCTAACTTAATTAAAGCACAGTTCTATTGAAGAATACCTGAATGGAGACGAATATTGTATTGACAGGCAGAGTTATATGAATTTGATAATCTCAGAGTACTTCACTTGGTATTACCACAGGAGAAGTGCATGAACTGCAGACAGGCTCTGAATAGAACAGTTTCACAAGAACCTTCTTCCATCTCTCATAATTTAATAAAATACACTGCGATTGAAGGAAAGGGATCACGGACAGCCCTCTGCCTCACGCTTAACAGAGTCTTCAAAAGAGTCTTTTTCCAATCACGTTACTGTTTTTTTATTAGTTCAGTTCCCCGGTAGTCCCAGCTACAGTAGGATTTGAAAGACACATGTCTTTGTGCCAGTTTGGCTAGGAAGAAGCTGTGTAGCTTTAGTTAGTCCAGCACTGATAAAATGCAATATTAAGACCTTCTTCTGCTTCATTAAAAAGAATCTCTTTCCTTGTGTTCTTTGTTTAAAATGCCTGAAAATTTTTGGTCTGTTTTTTAATTACTGTGAAACTCCATTAAAATGGTGGAAACCTCCAGCAGATCTGATTAAGCGGCCATACGGAACCAGAATAGAAACAGTTACATAACTGTAGAAATTGCTGCTGCCAGAATATGAATGAACGTTATCAGATTACATACAGACATACAAAAGAATATACTAAGAAAGTATCATTTTAAACATAATTGCCCTTTCACTCTTCAAAGTGATTGCGATATCTCTCTGTCTGTATTTACTGTCGAAACCCTGTAATTTGCAGATCAGGCTTCTGATTTGTCATTGGGAACATACTAGGTTAGCTATTTTAACAAGCACGGGTTTGATCGCGCATTTCCTACATTAAGGTTTTCCTAAGCATACAGAAGACAATTCCTTTTAAGTCAAAAGTGCATTTAAAAGATTTCTTCACGTAACTGTTCTATAAGCTTAGTGTCGCTCTCCAAGCAGTTTTTAAAACTGCCACAAGTAAATAATGTAAATGCATCTACCTCACAGTTTCCTAAACTGCTGCTTGTGTCGAGACACTCAATTGAGTCACAGGGTGGACCTCACTCCAACCCTCCCGGGGACTGGTGGCTTAGCAGCTAATCAGCGGAGGGAGGCACTGGGTGACGCCTTAGGAGACAGAGAATAAGTCCTGGAGGAAGTTGGTGGGAATGCACGCTTGGAGATCTGCTGGTGCGGACAGGGAAAGTGGTACGAAGGCCAAGGGACATGACCAGCGTGGTGAGGGGCGAGGAGGAAATGGAGGCGTGCTTCTAGTGCACATGCATTTGGCTTCTTTGCCGTTGCTGGTAATGGCAGCTACTGGTGGTACTGGCCACTGTCCACGTTTATAGCGCTTGAGCCAGTTAAGTCAGAAAGCACACTACCTGTAGTATACTCTACAACCCACTACCATATCATTGAGCTTCAAGGCTTTGCCCTTTGAGGAACAGAATTTGCGTTGTAAGATTCTTAAGCATCTTTAGAAATACATGCATAAACGCAATCCTGGCTAGGTAAAATATGGGGGGTTTTGCTTTTGTTTTTTTCTTTTGACAGCCATGCTGTAAAATCACAAACTTAGTTTATAGCATAATGGTCGCATACCTTCCTTAATATTTTAAGCATCTTATGGAATACAAATATACATTTACTCGTTCATCTAGTCATTTTGACTTAAACCCATTTACATAAAAATCAGTTATCTCATTTTTAAAATTCTATACTACATATACACGTAAAAATAAATGAAGATAATATTCTTTATTATTCGTTCTCAAGGAGCTTAAGAACATGCTAATTTTGAGAATACCGACTACTTATTTTGTAATAAGGTTACAGTATGTTTATGTTGTTATTCTTAGAAGACTCGATGCAAAAGTTGGATAGTACATCAGAAACTGAGTTCTCCATAGGAAACTGGTGATTGAAACTAGCTGCGTATTTTAAAAAGTAAATTTTAAACTGACCAGAGAATTTTCTGTTTCTTCTTCTTCATCCTCATCTTTACCATCTTCAACTTCTTCTGTAACTTCAGCCTTAGCTTCTGCAATCAATTCTCTTATTGGTTTATTGGAAGTAGCAGTAACAAATGGATGCTTGTGAAAATAAAAAATAAGCACAATATTAAGTGCTGACTTCATTGTACACAATGGGAAAATTGTAACTTGAAAGAAATGTAACCAGAGAAATGTTACTTTGGTTCTCTCAAACTTGAAGATTCACAGTTAACATTAATTATAACTGTCCTAATACTTTTTTTTCTGCTGAAGTTTTAAAATCAAAACATTTGTATTCAAATATACTGTGTAAGTAATCTAACAAACTTGCTAAAAATACAAATAAATCATTTATACTGACCTGTTTCACAATCCAAAAAATAGAAGTAGAAAGATTTTTTAAAAGGTTATTTCTCCTGGAAATGGGTTTCATTTCAGTTCCACAATTAAATTATTTTCTGATAAGCTTTATCTAGAAATATTCTTTCTAGAAAAAATCTGCTTTGTCTTTAGAACAATTTTTCCTAACAAGAACATAGAATTCTACATTTGTCTTTAAGAGGAAACAGCTATCTGTTCTTCTCCTACTATCTGAATCTTCTTTCTCTGCTTGGCCCTGCTGCTTAAATCTATTCAACATATGCTGGATGTATTCTGGATAAAGTAAATGCATGCTGACGTTAAACAGAATCAAATGTACCTAGTCACATCTACTCCTGTTTAGCTATTCTGCAGTGACAGCATTATAGAGAAAGGCTGAGCACTAAAGCTTTTAACACACCTGTCAGCAATTGACTACTTATGTAAATATCTCCTTCATCCATTATAATTATCAAAGTATAAATACTTATGCAAAGTAATTAGTTATATTACATCAAAATATGTAAACAAAGAATTTCATCTGCACTTGGTATCATTTAATCAGATTTTACCAAATAAGGATCAATGCAACAATGTTAAAACCAGATTGTGTATGAATACTTAATTTGAAATTATTTAAATAGTTACTATAATACCTCTCTGCTTTTAAAAAATACAAAATATCGTTGCTTTTAAACAATAGTTCTGAACAATTAACTCTTCTTACCTGTAGAAGTTGAGTTGCACTCCACCTCGCATCTACATTCTTTTCCAAACATTTCTTCAGAAAATCTTTAAAATCTGATGACCTACACAAAAAGCAAACATGCAGTGGTTCTTCTTTTGTCTTGACATCAGACTAGTGTATAGTGAAATATTCTTTTGCTTTCACATGCATCTACACTGCATTTCCAAGTCCTTCTATTGATTTAGGAAAACACAAAGATAGTACAGGAATGCAAAGACCAATGTGGCACAAATACAATCTTTAAAACGTTTGTCCATTTATAGAAGAGTTTACTTTTGGCTCTGGATTTATAATACACCGCATCTGCTATATCAGTAACTGAATCACATAAAGATATTAAAATGACCAAATAGATAATGGCTTTTTAAAAAGTTTTCTTAGTATAAAAATACTTGTCTCCTTTCACCTATTTTCTTTTTCAGATGGTCTTCAGATCTCTTACTGCATTTGTAAAAAGCTATTCTGCATACATTTTAATGCAAAATCTGCAAAATATTTCAGTATAAAAGCTTCTATACAGAACTACAACAAAAAGGACAATAGTCCCAATTGTATAAGGAGTTATATGTATGTATGTATACATGTACAAACAAACATATATAGACTATGTACCTGACTTTATGCGTAAAGCTAGTGCCATAAAGTTCAACAGTTCTATGCCCATGAACATAAGTTTACCAAATATACGACTTGGCATGCCTCATACTCAAAATCTACAAATTGGGGTGGGAAGGTTGTAAATAAAATACTAACCATTTTGAAGGCTGTGCTAATGTAGGCGGATCAGATTTTGCTATTTTCAGAAGCACCCGCATTGGATTTAATTCATGATGAGGTGGCTCTATTTGAGCCATTTCTATTAAAGTAATGCCAAGAGACCAAATATCAGCCTTGTAATCATAAGGCCTGTCTTTAGAGGTCTCGCACATTACTACTTCTGGAGCCATCCTGCAAAGAGAATAACGAAGTACCAGATTAGAAAATGCACTCTTATCTGTTCTGAAAAAGGTTCTAAATAGATAAATTAACTGAAGCATTTTAAGCAGCACATTCTACTCTCACTGAATACATTTACACGACATTGTATCAAGCTTGTAATATTAACAACAAAGGTAACTGAGATACTAGTTCATACTAAAAAGTCAGCAAAACAGTGCACTTACCAATATGGTGTACCAATAAAAGAATCTCTTCTTTGTATTGTTCTTGTGTTTTTAGCTGATACTCCAAAATCCGCTTAAAGCAAACAGTAAAATGCTATTAACTGGGTGGTGGAAAACATATTTTTATATTTTACAACTGTCTTTTAAATGTTATATGTTCCAGAGCAAACATTCTGCAGTATTAAAACTTCAAAGTGAGATAAAAATATTTGTGTTTTGATAACTGAGTGCCAAGGTTCTACAGCATTTCTAATAAAAGATATTGAATAAACGTTATTCTCCATTGCTAAAAAAGAAGTAATGCTACTGTTGAGTTGTGTGGGACAAGAGCAACGCATGTATTTACTGTAGGAATAAGTGGGTTAAATTATTTTAATTAGAAAATAATTTCTTCAGCCTATGAAGGCTGTATTCCTCAGACGTGGCATTAGCTCTCTCATTAATTCAACAATTCATTCAATTTTTAATTTCAGGATTCAAATTCTCATAAAGCTACATTTTCCCTTTATCTTATGGGTTTCTTGCCACATGACTTTTCACTTTATATTAAATATCTGAAAGCTTGCATATGCACCTTTGAAGTAACAGCCAACCAAAAATCAACTTCATCTTTGCAATTAATATTACTTGTCTATAAAGCACTACGTTTCTCACTTAGAAAAAAAAAGACGACATTTAAATAAGTGTTATATGCTTATTATAGATGTAACTTTCTTAATGAAGATCTAGAGATTAGAGCAAAAGGACAAAATAGCCATATGTTGCCGTCCTTAATCTGTACAAAATTACTTGATGGGCTCAACACTTGAGAAGTCTAATTTTGCTCTGTGGAGGAAAAAAAAAAAAAAAAAAAGACCAAGAGAGCTATTTGTTCAAATGCAAATTCTGAAATCTTGAGAGACTACAGATACTGAAATAATAAAACTCAAATCCTTATACAAATAAAATGCAATGAGGGACATTTATTTGCCATTCAGATATTTGTAAAACAAGGAATTACACCTATTTCTGTGTCTACCAGAATCAAAATACAAATAGTTTAAAAGGAGTAAAACGCTCTTTCAAGGGATGCTGTACACTTTTCAGAACTAAAGTAAATCTTTTTTTAGAAATCTTAATTAGCAAACCTGAATACATCACTAAATGTATGTGTGGAAGAAATCTTCCTGTAGTCTGAACTGTAAAGTAGTATCTTGACAGCCTGCACAGTGCTGTAGATCAGCTAAGCTTGACAAAATCTTAAAATGGTTCTATCTGTATGAGGAGGAGCCAGGTCACGTGAGGCAAATAAAATGAACAGAAACAAATGATTCTCTCTCTGACCATGAGACTCTTGCTACGATCTGTGATTTCTTTTACAGCAGTACTAAGAAACTAAGACAGTGGCTCTATTACATTTATAAGGTCTATGAGACTGAGTCCATCACTAGATCTTCAGGTTTCCAAGAAAAGCCAAAACAGTAAAGTTACCCGTACTTTGCAGAAGAAGAGAAAGGCACATGCAAGTATTATATGCACAAGTAATAATCTTGTGCAAGGGAATCCACGCAAAAAGCACAGATACACTTAACTGATCAATGTAGCAAAGCAGGTTCTTAAATATTCTCAACTTCTTAACCGAGATGATGCACTATACCTTGCAGAGACGCCATGATCAATACTACTTAGGTAGTAGATATATTTGTGAATTGAGACACGTCTTGCCTACATTTAAAAGGAACATCTGTAGCAAGGCTGGGAATTTAGAGCCCCATTTCACTGTGGCGATCTTCTGATTATCCTTACCTTCACCCTCTGTGTAACTTGCATCCAAAGAAATACAATTTTTCACACACATCATGTAGAGAGAAGTTTTTGAAACCTGAACGCAAGCTGCTCTGTCATGGAACTATGACACTGGTAGAGCCACTGTAAAGGCTGACAGCTTATACACATTTGCCCCTGATGAAGTCCTGAACAAAGTGGATCCAGACAATTCCTATCTTCTGTCTGAATGAAGGGATGCTATTCACCACCAGTAGTCCTTTGTCAGTTCTTCATGGAGGAATCCTCATGGATTCCCTACCACATCAGAAGGAAAATGTGGATGATTGTTTAAATTCAGATAAAAAAATAGGAATCAACAATAGTAAGCTTGTATTAATTTTCTTCCAGACTGTTCTATCTTAATTTCAGTGCAACGAACAATTAAAAAAGGCATGGAAAAACTAAGTTGAGTAATTAAGATTATTACTTCTCTCTCTCTCTCAATAATGGCAGAGACAACAATGGTACTGGTTTTTGGTGATTGTGAAGGATGTTCATTTTCTGAACTAACAACTTCAAAGGGAAGTTCTGATGTTACCATAGTAAAGATAAGTATAATTAAGAACATTATACTAAGAAACAGTAGGACCTGTGTCTGACTTTAGGCACCTTGGTACAGATATTGATATGACTCCTACCCCTGCTGATTTTGAAGTCGGAAAGATGTGCCAAGTACGGTTAGGACATTTACTCAAGCTTTCCCCCCCCCCTTTTTCTTTATAGTAGCAAACCACTTGAATCTGAAAAAACCTCTTATTGTTAGATTTATGTTTAAATAGATAAATACTGAACTCTGCCAAACTACAGCCTAAGGAAAATACAATTATAAGACCAGACAAAGTTCTGGGAAAGACTTCTATATGCAACATGCTTACCTAGTTTAATATCTCCATCTAATGTGAAAAGAATATTGCCAGCTTTTAGATCTCTGTGGATGATCTTATTTTCATGCAAGTAGTTCAATGCTTCCAGTGTCTGCCTGCACACCACTTTGATCTGCGGCTCTGTCAATGGCCTTTCAAGCTCTACAAGAGGAGGAGACAGAAATAAACACAACATTTTTGCATTTTGTTGTTATGTGTTCATAGCAATCAGTATAGCGGTATATGTGAAAATTAATTAATCTGACGGATTCTGAAGATCATATGTCAGAAAAAACTTCTATCTTAAAATATTTGCTCCTTTCAGTAAAAATTTCATTCCTTGTACCCAAACCCCTCCTCATTATGAACTATGTATACCTACCTATCTGAACTGTGAAAAAGCTGTACAGTTTAGAGATTGGTTCTTTTGTATGGTGCACCGAGATGTTAAAGACTAGATCCTTTACTTACTTGTATTAGCATTCACCTAATTTGCGGAATAAGCACAGAAAAACCTAACTTTAAGGTTGATGCAACATAAAAAATTATCACAATGTTATTTGGAAGATGGCAAGGGAAGGGGAAGAATGAGATCCTGAAAAGGGCTCATCTAGATTATGTTATAACAACAGAGAGCTCCATAATCATATGAGAACAACTCATCACATTCACTTACACGATCAAGACAAGAATATGTTTTGAAAAGTAAACAAACACTTTAAAAATGAGAGAAAATTAATCTAACTTAAGAAGTTATAATGTCCATAGATATAGGTGTAAATGCTAATTTAAAAACCCCAACATTCAACACATATAGCACACCAATTACATAAATATTTCCATCTCAAAACAATATACTGTGAAACAAGTCTTAAAATACATATATTATAATTTTAAGATGTTATTAAGTTTATTATTTGAAACAACTTATTTACCCAACATTACTGCATCTACTGCTCCACCTGCACAAAATTCGATCAGGATCTGTATATAAAAAAAGAATACACAAATTACAAATTAAATAGTTCCACTGAACTGAACCATTGATTAAGGGAGCATTATTGGGTTGAGTTATTATTGAGTGTCAGACCATTTTGCCTTGACAAATTATTGCACTAACCTCTGCAAAATACTGGTACTGTTACCCAGCTAAAAGTAGTGCTGTGCTGCTGAAGCAAATTATTTGAAAAATGCTTGGAGATCCTCAGACAAAATTTTTAATCCAAAGATAAAATTGGATAATAAAACTTATAAAACATAATAAAACAGTCAGCTTGAATTTGACTTGTTGTAATGTGATTTACATAATCCCTGCAAACTCATTTCTCGATTATTAAACTGTACTTCTATAGTATAATCTCTCTGACTGAAAAGTCCAAGTATGAGAGCTACATGATTTTCCAGTAGCAGATGTTATCTCCTCTGTTGTTTCAGATGAGATGAAACTGTGGAAAAATACTCTTAAAACTTACAGAAAATGAGTAAATTCAGATGTTTACATTCATTTTCCTCCATTTCCATTGATGTCTACAATACATCAAGGCTTTTATCCCAGAATCTAATAATACTAGAACAACTCCCATCTCCAGTTCTCAGTTTCCATTTGAAACAAAAATAAACTGCAACTATTTTGGAGCACAAACTATGCTGACACGTAGGACAGAAAGAACATGCACAAAGGAGAAAGAGGGTAGACAAAAGGAATGAGGAGGGCAAGAAAGAGGAATGGTCATCCAAGACTGACACCCCACCCTTCCTTATGCGCTTTTCTTCTTTAATTTGAACTTTAAACATTAAATTATAACTTTCAGTCTGAGAGCTGATGTGTATTTCTTGTCAGAATCCTAACAGCCAATATTCTGGGAAATACCATCTTAATTTTTTCCTTTAGAGTGCTTTTAAAATCAGAGTATAATTGCCCATAAAAGAGGAAACCTCAAATTATACCTTATACCATAACATTTGTATATATACACCACTTATGTTACATATTACTTCAAATTACTATTATAATTAATCCTCACAACAATGGTACTAACAAATATATTATATAATACAATTCTTTGTAAATCCTTTAAACCATTATTGCATTTACATGCTTCTGCATACCTACTGCTGAGTAAGTTAAGCGTGGGAAATTGTAAATAAAGAATTTCTTTCTCTAAAATTTGCTGACAATCTGACAAAGGCCTCTTTGGTAGAGAAATTGTGTTTCTAAAACTGGAAAGCAAAAACATATTTTATGTCCAACTATCATTCTTTTCTTTTTTTCCTCCACTAAATTCCGTTTACTTACCACATCATTACAGCCTTCCCTTTGCTGCTTTCATGCCTCTGCATTTCACTGTAACTATATATCTACAATTTTATTTTCAACCTATTTACTCCTCTTCTACCTTTATTCTGCCAGTGAAGCCTATCCACTCAGTTTCATATTCTGCCTTTATGCATACTTGCTTTCATGCTGACCTTTATGCATGGAAATTTTTTCACTATTCTGCTGTTTGATACAGTATCATTTTACTCTGCATTCAGACCACGCAAAGTTTTCACAAAGCTTATCAAATTAAATCTACATCAGGAAACATGGTATTACACTCCCATTGTTTTCATGCTTAAAGGATAAAGCATATTTGTAAGACTCCAAGGAAATTTTCTTTTACTTGTTTTAGGTATCTTTTTTTAATTATAAATTCTTTTTAAAAAAAACATGTAACCTTTGTACAATTCCAAAATCACTTATACAGATTGCATTGCATCACCTAGAAGAAAAAATTGTATTTTCATAGCTAAAGCTATTCAGTGCACAGGATATAGTAGAAGAGTGACGTACAGTCATATGTATGCCCACTATACTTCTATGTGCAAATATCTAGACTTTAAGTAAATTAATTATGGTTTAAGTCCTGGTAAACTGTCCTTCCTGGAGGTACCAATGAATTCACTCGTATCTAAAATACATACTTCACAGGCTGACCTTTTCAGCACATTATTTACTTTTCAGCTGCGGATTCTGAATCTCTCTCTAAATTGTGCTAATGTAATTAAAATCTGAGTCCTGCTGTTACAAATAAGCACTGACTAAGAACTCTCTCCATACACCAAAATGAACTGCTAATTTCCAGATTTTAGATTCAAACTCCTGACCAAATGACTCAGTGTAGCTCAATTTTAGTGACAATTTCCTAAGTCATACTCACAATTTACAAATTAGTTTTGAAACTGAATAGTTATCACAATAGTGACACAACCCAGAAGCAATGTGATTGACAAATGATCTTTTAAGAAAGCCAAGAAAAAAATGGAATTTCAATAACCTTTTGAAATAAGTAAAAGCATTTAGAGAAGAAAAAATACCTACCCACAGATTGTTTTCATAGTAGAAAGCATCTAGGAGCTTAACAATATTAGGATGATCACAGGATGCTAAAATATCGATCTCAACCATGTAATCTTCAAGTTCTTCTTCTGATTTAGTATCAATCACTTTTGCAGCAGCCAGTACTTTCGTTTCTTTGTTCTGAGCCTATAAAAGTCCCAGCAAACATATATACACATGTGAATTTCACCAGACAACTGTCTCAGCAAAAAAACCCCAACAAGACCCCCTCTCTTGACATTTCTGTACTACTTTCCTGCCTTTAGTTTGCTTCTCTACAAAAAGACAATACCCGCATATTAAAAACTAGAGAAATTCTAGCAGAAAAGGGGTTCAATAACTTTTCTCAAGGTCAAGAAACAATGAAAGACAGGAATAGAAAAATACTTAATTCTTGTCACATTCTTTAAACCATCATGCAGTCAAAAGCTTAGGGTCGTTACTATTTTGTACTCCTAAGATGAAGTTCTGTGCTGCTCCTCAAAAAACCTATCTATTAACACTTGGCAAGGAGTATTAAGTAGCTTCCACCCTCTCATTTCTGACTGCACATTCTTGCCCTTCTGACACTCCCCACGTTGTGGCAGCACAGCTGTTCGCAAAGCCACATAGAAAAACAAATCCTCTACCAGCAACCAGTAGGTTACGCTCTTCTTCAGCCAGGGGCTGTATTCAAGCTTCCACGTTAAAAAGATGCCAAACCATCATTAATTTGTCTGGGCATTTTACTCTCTCTGCTTCAGAAGTCTAGGAGCAATTCCACAGATGGCTACTCGTTGAGTTGGCCACACTGAAAATGCTGCCAGCCTCTACTTTATTACTCCACACCTTAAGACTAGGGAGCTAGAACTGCTGTAGTGAGAAGGTCAACTGGAGAACAAGTAAGATTTTGACTTGAAAAGCAAAAGGAAAACAAGACCTTGGGCACCCAAGGGGAAAAAAAAAAAGCATTTCTGCTACGCATTTAAATATTCTTTGGCTTTTTCTGAACCTAAGAAATTGCAAACAATTAGGGTGACTGTTAATTAAATAGCAAAAAATTTCAGCAACCGGTTGCTGCAAATACTTACTCACAAAAAATTGCTGAGAAACTAATCCAGCAAAACTAGGCAAGGTGAGATTAAAAAAAAAAAAATGTGGGGGATAAAGCAAATATTAAACACACAGCCTATATATGTGTACATATACATACACATAAAATTATAAACACTTTCTAATAATTTGCTCGCAAGTTATGTTTGAAGGAATACTCTAAGTTGGAATTTAGTAAACTTTAAACAAGGTATATTTTCTCAAGCCATCATAAAAACAATAGTTTGTCAAGGCATTTCCAGTGGTTACCTTTTGCCTCTGAACAGATAAAGTTGTAGGACTGAAGTCTACTTCACCAATTATACGTAAAGACCATGAAGAAAAGGCCGAGATTTACTCCACCTAGCTTTTGACATTCAAATGAGATTAAATGAGAAGCAGGGACATAGGCTCTCTCCAAAGCAGCAAAAGACAAGAACCTGCAGGGGCAATTCCGACTCCTGACGTGAAGCATCACAAGGTGGTTCATCCTGCCTCTCTGCTGGTGCGGCTGCTGCATGGGGCATCTCGGCCCCAAACCTAGGTGAGATGAACCCAGGACAGGACACAGCAAGAACCCCAAAACCTGACTTTTGTCAACTAATCTCGTTATACTAACATCAGACAAAAGCTGATATGGTACAGCAAGTAAGAATTCTCAAGAATGATTTCCAAGGTCTAAATATTACTACTTTCACAGCCATAAATAATTCCCTCAATGCGACAAAAAAGAATAAAAGATTTAAAGATTAAGTGTTTATAACATTCAGTAAAACAGCAGTAACAGCAAAACACACTTATAAGCATAGCCCTAGCTGATTCATCCTATGTTGAGGGTAAACATTTTCTGTAACATTTATTTTTATCTCAATATTCTTTCCAAAACAAAAAACAACCAATCTTCCCAACCTCAATATTTGCCCTCCCATTTTTAACAACAAAGATAAGGGATCTCTGTAACATTATTCGAAAACAAACTGCCAAGAAGTTTTCCAACACACATTCTAATAATAAAAAGGTCTGCTTAATAACACAAACATCATTTGTTTTGGTTTCATGTTTTATAGCAAGAATGAAATACCAACCTTCCTATTCTAGAGCTGCACTGTAAATTAAACATGAAAGGTGAAACAGATGTCTGACTCCACAACAGAATTAGATTTGGTAGCTTTACATATGCAGAAAAATGGTTGTTAAAGCACCTTTCTAAAGAATTCAAATACTAACTGTAAAGTTACTTTTTTGAAACATGCATGGACACACACTCTCCGCTGTACCTTACAAGAAGGATACTTAAAAAAAAAAAAAAAATTCTGAAATTCATTTTTACACAAATTTGCATGTAAGCTATAAAATGGTAATAATATTTTGTTTAAATAAAACTATTTTAAACTTCTACATCAGGTAACAATAACAGATGTTACTGTTTTCAGATTCAGTTTCACCTTGGGGGGGATTGGTAAATTAGCGTGCATGATTACATGCTAGGGAGTTTGCTGCATTTATAGCATGTATTGCTTTTTTTCTATTGACAGAGTACTTTGTATTTTGATTTCTCCCAGGTCCTTTTTCTTGAAGTAACTAGAAATCTGCTTTGAATAAGTTTCTTTTATTTCCTCCTTGTGACAGCTCTATTAAAACACCTCATTAAAAACCAAAGTGATTATAGAGACAGTATGATTATCTTTATGAGCATCTTAACAATTATAAACAAAACAAATGTTCGCCTTTGTTCTGACTTGAGATAGTAAAAGTTTGCAGGTCTAGATCCACACTTTTTTCCAGTTCTCAAAAGAAAAAAGCTTTAGAATTAGCATATTTCCAGGGTATTTCTGAGGACTGATAAAACATTTTAAGTATACATCAAGTTACACTTGAAAATAAAAAAAATCTTTATATATTTTAAAAGTCCTTTTTAAATAAGACATTATTCATCTCCACCCCACAACGCACTCTATAATAAATACCCATCTATGTGACTTGCTGTAAGAAGCACATAAGAAATATGCTCTTTTGAACTGTGTAGGAAAGGATTTTACTGTTCATGCATAAGATTTATGTAGCACTGTACTGTATGCGAACCCCCCCCCCCCTCTGGATTAAGAGGAACAAAAAGCATTTACAGCTTTGTGTGGGCATGTTTGTTTTTTCTAGACTTTGGCTGAAGTCTGTCTTCTGCCACATAACATTCTCCAAAGGTCAGAGCAGGAGCAAAAGTTTGTGTAGATGCAGTCTTGATTTGCATATACTCATTTTGCATTTGGGTACATGAACATTTAAAGTCAAATAACCATTCATGTTACTCAGAAGTTCTGCCCTTTCAAAATATGTCCTGTATCAGTAGCCCAGCAGTTTCTTCCTATGTTTTAGCTCTCAACTACCAATTCAAGTTATTCCAAACGCTCTGCTTAAATACATTTGATTCTGCTTCTATGACAGGTGATTTAAGCTGCAGTCCTTCACTAAGAAATCCAGACTGGCATCTTCTGTGGTTACGGTTCAATCCTGCCTTATATAGAGACAAGGAAGAAAGGGGGGAGAAAGATTTTCTTTCTTTGCATTAAAAAATTTGATCTTTTCAAAAGATTCATACACAATGGTTGAAAACTGAATTGGAATAACTCACTGTCCCAAGATCTGACTGATGCAGTATGACATCGATATTATTAACTAATATATGCAACAATACATATATATTGCAATCCCTCCACCAAAACTTCTATTTGGATTATATATTTAAGGCTACTGCAGCAAACTTTAACTTAGAGAGATAGTATGCACAAGGGAATAGCAAACTGTATGTTAAAGCACTGTTCTTGCAACGGATGGCAGAGTGTCAGCAGAAAACACACAGAAAAATACTCTTATTCTCTTAATTCTAAGGTAAAGTACTTTTAGAAAGATGGATTGCAGGTTTGCATAGAATAAATATGATCTTGTAAATTAGAACTTGCAAATTACTTTCTGAACCTAAATCCCTCACAAATGGAAATGACATCTAATGCACAAAAATGTTGTAAACATTTGAAAACGTATCAGTACAAGAAAGAAGAATAACCATTCTACACAAAACTAGAATCTGCGAGTATGTGAAATGAGTGGCTCCTCCCTTTCAGTCCTGGACTTCTATACAGTATCATATATCCAAATATAAGTTCCAGAGCCAGAAGCTTTGTGAAGAGACTGACAGCAGAATATTAAAAGGCAGGTCTACTGTCTGGGCACTCAGCCAAGACATTGCATATTCCCAGCCATGGACAGCAGGGAGAGCAGAGCCACCGTTCCAGAGTAATAGGATTACAGCTCAGAGATTACTCATAGTCTTTCATCTTTAGACCAATATGAAGTTTCAGCCTTGAAATCAGGAGCTGTTTCAGCTTTCTATCACCAGCAAATGTTTCCTTCCCAACTGTGCAGCTCCCCTCCTACGATGTAGCATGCCGGCATCTAAAAATTAAACACTATTTACAACTGAAAAAAGTTAAGGATATCCTTCATCTATTGTTCAGCCAACCAGAAAAAAAGCTGAGATACGAGGTAGAAGATCGTTCATCACCTTTCTTCCTGATGCCTGATCTCTTTTGAGATGTTATATAACCACCCTGCATGTTTCGCAGGCAGCAAAACAAGTCAATTGAGAAGCTTTTCCTTTCTGACTCATTCTTCTCAACAAAACTACAGTCATAATCATAGATCATCAAGGTTGCCAAAAAGTGAAAAATATGCGCATCCCTATTCAGCAAAAGATGTTTTTACATGTAAAAAGCTACACTTTTGTGTAAACCTGGGATTGTCAGATCTAGCTCCATATATGCTTTCTGATGATGTCTGAGTAATCAGTACCGAAAAATTGTCCTCGTACAACACAAAGGCAAGAGCTGTTTCTCAGAGCTAGCAGAAAGCGGTGGATCTCAGGCTTTCTTAAACATATGAACCAAGGAAAAAAATTGCTATAATTTCAGATTTTAACAGCCTGATCAAATAAATCTGTAATAAGTAGTGTGGTGTACTGGAAAAACTACACTGGACTTTGTTTTGTATAAATTTACTATACCGTATTTAACACTGTCCTGCGC